GTGGCATTGAACTCTTGTCAGTGCAGACACTGGCACACCACACTGAGAAGTGCTGCTGTTATCACTATGCTGGCACTGTGCTGCTTCAGACAGGCACAAACACTTTTCCAGCAGGCCCAGGTCCATGGAAAATGAGGTGGCAAGGTTATCACCCCTGACGCTGTACTGTTTGTGTCTTTGTGCCTGCCTCAGACTCATCTTTTGTTACCAAAGGGCCTGGACCAGGCCCACCCCAGGCAGCCGAGCGCAGGCAGCAGGTTCTCACCTTGGAAAAGCTGGCTTTCCTTGACAGTGCTGTCATAGTGCTTTTGCAGCACCTCCGGGAGGTTAGGGTGCAAACAGTTGTACTTGAGATGCAGGGCAGGGAAAGCTGCCGTGGCCAAAGTCCCCTGGCTTGCCAGGATTAGGCGTTGATCGGTTTTAGGTTCAAGCACTGCATGCTGAGGTCGTCCTGAGCACAGACCTTCTCAGGGTACCAGCTCTGGCTGTGAGTGGCAGCAGCAAATCAACAATTCTGGTCAGTAACTTCACAGCAATAGAATTTATTGAGCAACTTTTATAGATTTTTTTCAAGGCTTGAAAAGACCATTACATTGTCTGGTCTCAGGTACATTACAGAGCAGTTCTCCTGACGTTCTTTTGAGATATCACAGTCTTTGTATTGCAGGGTGCTGTCCCACCCTAGACTTGTGGCAGGGGGGGCGGGTGGGGGGAGGACGGCCAGCAGCACCTGCATGGTTTGGGGTTGGCTTTCACTTAGGAGAGGTTATGAAGGAGATTTTACAACAAAAACAATTCCTTCACCCAAGCATGGGGTCTGTTTTCTCCATTCCCTCTTTGTGCAGAAGACAGATCTCTTCGTTAGCTGCTGTTTTCCACATGATGGCTTTTTTACAGGGAACAGCATGTTTTGGCTGGAGTTGTGCGTTCCTGCTGCAGGGCTGGTTCCTCCTCCCAGGCTTGCTGGTGAGACCCGAGGGTCGCCACGCCCGAGGGCAGAGGGGCTGCATGTCTGCGGCTCTGATGTAGGCGGGGAGAGGCGTCCCTCCTCCAGTCCCCTCTGGGGAGCCCCCGTGCAGAACAGCAGCTCCTTGGGAGAGGCTGGGTGGGAGGGAGAGCTCCAAAAAGCCGGCTGCTTCGCAGGGCGCTGCTCTCCGCTGCCCTTGGGCTGGGGAGCGCTGGGCTGTGCTGACCCGCTCCCCTGGGGCTCGACA